GAATAGGGAGGAAGCTCCTGGAATACCCCAGTTTTCTTTTTTTTTTTTTAAATAAAATTCATTCGGGTCATTTGAGGAAAATGGAGAAACTTGCCCCAAAGAACATAAGCCAAAAATTAATTGGTGGCTGGCAAGCACTGTAGGACCCTGAGCCCATGAACAATCAATCACTCTGTCCCTTTGGACTCCATTAGCCCACATTTACTGAGAGCAGCACCAGTGATTGCAGACATCATACAGGATCAGATCTCTGATGAACTCACTTGAAGAGCAAGTCTAATTATGAACCTCTGTCTCTTCCATGGATTCCTGACTCAGTTTAATGAGAGAACTTCTTCCACTTTACAGCACTAAGCTCCTCAACTCTCCCCTCCCCTTCTTGCTCCACAACTAAGTGAAAGACAGACCTGCATTTCAAGGGTGAAATACTCCTGGTTCAAACCTAAGCATAAAGGAATGAGAGGAAGGAATGCCTGATGGCATGGTGCATGGGCTTGCCCCAGAACTGGAACAGGTTAGTGTGAGTAGAAGAGGGTGTCAAGAATTTTCTGATTAAAAGTCACATGGCTCAGGCAATTAGGGAAGGAGAACACCTAACGGGACTTCTGGGAAATCAGTATCTCTAATTAAAGTGAGCAATGGAGTATTTCCATTCCAGTTGTGAGCTTTCTTGTAGTATGTCCCCATCCCTTCCTGCTCTTCCATCTCCTACTCTTCAGCCTGGACATTGTCAAAGTTCATAGTGTAGTAACTTTAAATTATATTTAGAACTGGAAGAGACCTTAGAAGGCATGGAGTTCAGATCTCTCATTGCACCACTGATGCACCTTATGCTGGAAAAGAGGTCCAGAGTTTGCTTTGGTGCTTCCCACCCAAATTACAGAGGTTATATGAAACCAACCAAGTGGGTAAAGATATTGTAATCATGGCCCCTGCTCAAGGCTAAGAGAATAATTGCCTCAACTTGAGCCCTATCTCATTCTAAAAAGCCTTCACTAACTGTTCCACTTCTCTGTGACCTCCTCTTTCTCAGTCCTTGGTGGGTCAAATCCATAACAATTTTTCACACAGCCAGGTGGGGACACAGGCCTCTGCTTGGGGTCATGGCTAGAAAGATCATTGGTTTTGGAATCAGAAGACCTAAGGTCAAATCCCCTCTCTGTTACTGACATAGTGGATACAGAGTGCTCAACTAGGACTCAGGAAGACTGAGGGTTGAATTTCACTACTAATGCATCCTATCTATGTGATCATGGGCAAATCATTCGACTTTTCAGAGCCTTAGTTTCCTCACCTGTAAAATGGGGATCATAATACTTGATGTACCTGCTTCAAAGCGTGGTTGAGAGGCATAAATGAGATTATGATGTGTGCAAAGTACTTGTCAAACAGGAAATGATCACATCAATGTCAGTTATTATTATTATTGAATCATTGTATGACTTTGGGAAAGTAACATTTAACTTCTCTGGGCCTCAGTTTCCTATTCTGTAAAAAGAAGGGGTTGAACAAGATGATCTTTGAAATGTCTTTTAGCTCAAAGTCCTACCTTCCAGTGTTGCCACTGTGAGCTTCCAGCTTGAGACCACTCCTCTTGCTCTCTCTCTGTGTCTCTCTCCTCTCTGTCTCTCTCTCTGTCTCTGTCTGTCTCTGTCTCTATTTCTGTCTGTCTCTGTGTCTCTCTCTCCTCTCTGTCTCTGTCTCCCTCTGTCTCTGTCTCTCTCTGTGTCTCTCTCTGTGTGTCTGTCTCTGTCTCTCTCTGTCTCTGTCTCTGTCTGTCTCTCTCTGTGTGTCTCTCTCTCACTGTCTTACCAATTAAGTTGGTCTGTAGTCTTTCTTGGCAGAGTTGCAGTTGGCCAATCTATTCAGCAGCAGCTTCTTCCTGCTGAATGTCCCTTTATAAATCTTGTGTATAATTATTGTCCCCTCTAGGTGTCACACCCACACAGGGGTACTTCCTATCTGCCAGCTTCCTTGCACCTGTTTGCTATTCTCTAGGCAGTGCCACGCAGGATATGACTGCTCACAGGACTGTCACAATGCTTTTTTCAGTCATTTTTCAGTCATGTCCAATTCTTCGTGAACCTATTTAGGGTTTTCTTAGTAAAGATACTGGGGTGGTTTGCCATTTCCTTCTCCAGTTTATTTCACAGATGAGGAAACTGAGGCAAAAATGGTTAAGTGACTTGCCCAGGATCACACAGTTAGCAAATGTTGGGGCTGGATTTGAACTCAAGAAAATGAGTCTCCTTGACTCCAGGCCTGGCACTTTATCCACTGTGCCACCTAGCTGCCACCTCACAATGCTGACACTTAAAACTTGGTATCCACTCAGACCAAAGGGTTGAACACAGTAGGCATCCAATAAATCCAATTCAACCTAATAAGCATTTAGTAAGCACCTATTACATGCAAAGTATTTGTTAGGCCTCAAGGACACAAAGACAAATAAATAAAACAGTCCCTGCCTACAAAGAGTTTACATTCTACTGTTGAATTGAACTCAGTGGAGCTGAAAAGAGCTGCGCATTTATCTCTTGGGTGGGTATGACCCATTGTAAACAGTAAAAACCTCAGAGGGGCCAACACAGGGCAAAGACCCTGTCTGTGCTGTGACCCCAAGAGAAAAGAGAAAGGAAATCCTGATGCTCTCCTCAGTGATGGAGGACACGCTGCATAAGGGAGAGAGAGGAGCTACAATGCAGTAGAATCTTAGGAATAATCCAGAACAGCAGGTAATCCACAAAATAATCTTTTCCTTCCAAATGCTTTTATCTACCTCCTATTTATGTTCCTGTAGGATAAAATCCAGGTGAATTTGCATCTTCTAAGTATATACCAGGAGGCAGCTTGGCATTGTGGAAAGAGCTGGCCTCAAAGTCAGGCAGACCTGGGTTCAAGTTCTGACGTTGGCTGTGTGACCCAAAGTTCTCAGTGCCCATGGTAACTCTCCAGGACCAAGTTGTAGAAAAGCTACTGATCTGCCTGCATTAAGTTCCTCACCAGGAGTTACACACACCCACACCTCAACTGCTGGTGCGGAAGGTGGGGCAGTGGGTTGGAAGGTAGGAAGGGCAGAGACTCTACAATAGGACATTTGCCCGGGATGAAGCGTAAAGCAAATCCAGCCCTATGGCTACTTGCCCACTGGAAGCCCTCTGTGTATCACAAGTGGCCACAGCTCTTGAAGATTTTAGACTGAATCCTGGCTCTCACACTTACTAGTTGTGTGACCTTGGGCAAATCATTCAACCTCCTGGTCCCTGTTTTCTATCTATAAAAGGAAGGAATTGGACTAGATGGTCCCTGAGGTCCCTTCCAAGTTTTGACATTCTATAATTCCACTTTGATATTCTATAATTCCAGTGTGGTCTAGGGTCTGTCATACCCCAGTGGATAAGTCAGGACCTCAGCAGCCTTTCCTAAACAATACACCCCCAATGTCGCAGTGAGATTTTGCACAGCTTTTGAAGTCACAGTCTCAAATGGGATGTTTTCCCTGGGAAAAAGAAACAAATTTAAAGGCTGATGCAAGCATTGGTGCATTATGGTAATTAATACAATTAATTTTGTCTGTGACTATATTTTCTTTTCTCAGGAACCTCAGATGCAAGCTTTCAGGGCAGAGAAACTCAATCAGATTATTTTATCACAGAAAAAATGAAGCCTGCCAGGCAGGGGAAGGAGATAGGAGTGGAGGAGGGGGTAGGATGCAGGGGAGCCCCCAGATAGCTGGCAACTCTTCCCTAGGCTCTGTCTGGCCAAAGCACTTAGGTAATGAAGGAAGTGAATGAAGTTGAGATGTTTGTTCTTACCACACAGGCTACCACTGTGTTTTTTCCCTGTTGAATTATTTACACACTCCAGCAAACACAACTTATGCTGTTAACAGAGTTTAATGAAGGTAAACAATCGCCTACAAACCACAGCTCTGGCCTCCCACTCCTGGCTGCCTCGTGTTGGGGACAGAGCGTGGGACTATCCTAGTGGGAAGGGTCGCGCCTGGAGAGATATCTGCCCTCTGATGTAAGGCAGGGCCATGGAGCTAATGTGAGTGGTGTGTACAGAGTCACAGGACCCGGGGTTTACTCTGACACTGACTCTGTGTGACTTTGAGCTAGTCACCAAACCTCTCTCTAGGCTCTAATTTCCTCATCTGTAAAACAAAGAGGCAGTTTGATGACATAGTAACTACAGTGCTGAACCTGGAACATTTACTAGATATTTACTCGGCCTTAAACATTTACTTTCTGTGTGGCCTTGGGCAAGTCACTTAACTACTGTCTGCCTCAGTTTCCTTAATTATAAAATGGGGGTAATAGTAGCACCTACTTCCCAGGGTTATTAGGATGAAATGATATAATCTTCGTAAAGCCCTTTGCAAACCTTAAAGTGCTATTTAAATGCTAGCTACTATTTTTTAGCATTATTACATCAATAAGTCAGGAAGCATTTATTAAGTCCTTATCATGTGCCTGGCATTGTGCTAAGTATGCAGGATAGAGAAGAAGGCTGAAACACCATCCCTGCCTTCAAGGAGCTCATATTCCAATATGGGAGATAACATGTACCTAGAAGATATATACAGAATAGATAAAAGAAATCTGAAAGAGGAAGGTATTAGGAGCTGGAGGTTGGTGGAGGGGGGTGTGGGGAGACCAGAAAAATCTTCCTACAGAAAGCAGATTTTGAGCTGGGTCTTGAAAGAAGCCAAGGAAGCTAAGAGGGAGAGATAAGATGGCAGGGCAGACCACGAATGTCTCTTTCAGTGCTAACCCCGTGGTCCTGTGTCATGACCTTCTAATGACTGGGCTCATGAATGCTTAGCCTCATTTTCTTCTTTACAACTCTAATTCCCTAGAACATTGACTGGTTGAAGGCAGATTTATCTCTTTTCCCTCACTTTTCCCTCTTCTATACTGGCACTTTCTTACTTGCAAACTCACAGCCTCCACACTCTGTGCGTTTGTTCTCAACTCAACCCTGTCTCTGTCATGCAGGTTTGGAGGTTTAGGTATGTGCCATATAAAATGATCCGCGACCTCCTTCGGCCGGACGAGGACTGTCAAATTAAACTACAAGGACTGACCAAACAACTGGTTACCTAGGTTTTGGTACCTAGTTTGCGGAGGTGTTGGCCGCCCAAAGGCGTTTATTTGGAGATCTTGGGGCAGAGGCTGTAATGATGCTGTTTACGAAGTCTTTCTCTCAGGACGCTGACACCTTGGAGAGTGCCCAGAGGAAGAAGGACAACCGGGATGACTAGGATCCTAGAAAACACGACAGTCCATGATGATAACTAGCATTTACATAGCATGTTAAGGTTTTCAAAGTGCTTTGTAACTTATTTGAAAAACTTTTTAACAATTGGTGCTGTCCAAAGGTGGAATGAGTTGCCTGGGGAGGTGGTTTCCTGTGTAGGAGGTGTTCAGGAACACTAGCACCTTTAGTGTGGGGGCTTTCTGGGCCCTTTTCTGGGCTGCTCATCCACCTGTGGTCTCTACCTTCCTCCAACTCTCTCACCTGTGGCTCCAAGAAGCTGTAGCGTGAGCAGCTGCCTCATCCCAGTAAACCTCAGCAATTTGGCTAAACTAGGTTGAAGGTAACCCAACAGGCCTCAAACTCATTTGATGAGTTAGGGTGATAGCTATCCCAAGCATGTGAAGACCTCCCCCAGCAGAATGGGAAGATGAGAACAATTTGTTCCAAAGGCCATGAAGGTGGCTGAGGCAGATGCTTTAGAGTGCTTGGAGATTAGTCAGACATGGAAGATGCCAAGGTCACCCACTGCACTTCTGGACTTTTGTCCTGCCACTGGACTTCTTATGCGACATGACATCCTCAAATGAAGGACAAACAACAAGTGTTCAAGTAAAGACAGTATGGACATTTACTGGTGATGTTGTGAAGGGGATTCATTCTCAGGGATGGGTGGACTAGAAGGCCTCTAAGATTCCATCCTGCACTGAGATTCTGCACCTTTCATGTTAGGCACTGAAGGCCCCTGATACCACACAAACTTGCATGCCTTAAGAAACACCTACTCAGCTATTCATTCATGTGTCTTTGGGAATCCATTTATTAAACTGCCACCACTATGTCTCCATGACACTCTTGCTCCTTTTCTGTACCTACAGTTTCTTCTCAGGCCATATAAGAGTGGGTAGGCCTTTCTTTCTTCCTTTCCCTTCACCTCTCCCTCCACTCTTTCTGTATCACTTAGACACCATATTATGGTCAAGCAGGACAGATAATAGCAAGGGTGTCCTTCCCCCTTATCTTCTCTTTCCATCTACCTTGACCTCCCAAGTTTCCCAATGCTAATGGGATGAGTGATATGACCGCTTATACCCCTCAGTGAGCTAGAATTTACCAAGTATAATACCTCCTATGGGATGGAGGACCACCATATCCTGAATCCTAAGATACTCCAGACTTTACCATCTGCCTTTCTATTACCCCCTTTCAGACTCCTAAGGGCACTGCCACCTGACCTATTAATGTGCTCTAAGGACCTTAGCTTTTCTAGTCTCCTCTATGGAACCTTAGGATTTCTGGGATTCTCTATCCAGCTGAATTCTCTTCTCTGCACTATCTCTTCCAATTAGAGTGGCAGCTTCTTGAGGATAGAAACCACCTTGTTTTTCCTATCTGTATCTCAGGTGCTGAGAATAGTTCTTAGCATAAAATGATGCTTTTTCAGTCACTAGCCACCAGCAATGTCCTTCCTGCCAAACACTAGTACGGGATTCCCTGGGCTCAGGGACCTTCACAGCTTCAGTTATTTAAGGGGTATAAAGAGGGTCTGCATATGTACCAAGCATTGACTTTTGATCTTTATTTGGTACCAACAAAATATGCAGCGTGACTCAGTATGATAAATAAACAAAAATGCCTTCTGTAGATTGAATAAATAATCTCAACTCTCTGTATATCATTTTTCAAATATATGTAGATGTTGTTGTGATTAATAAAAACACAGATTCATTTTAAAGGTTGACTGAATTCATAATACCCTGTTGTTAGCATATACTTTCTCTAGCAATGAATCATAATAGTATATCTGCTAATGTGAGGGAATTTTTCATGTTAAAAGGGGACCCTGGCCTCTAAAAGGCTGGTCTACTGCCCTGGCACTCTGCACTCACTGGTCTCCAACCTACGTCTGCCATATGGTGACATTTTTCCTCCTTCCCGATACCCCTAAATACTACTGCAGAATTGTGACCAATCACTCCTCTCCTCGGCTGTTCTGCAGTGGTGAGAGCTGAGAAGAGAATCTCCCCATGATGATGATGATGATGATGATGATGATTGATGATGATGATGATGATGACCATGCCCGGGCACTTCTCCCTCCCCATGGGAGCCTCATGTATCCCGATATCCTGACAACAATGCAGTGTCTCTGCCTCAATGGAGTTTGCAATCCAGTTGAGAGAGACAAGACCTAGTTGTATGAAAAGATAACTGAGGATATAAGTCAGTGTATAATAATGTAGGTGCTAAATTTTACAGCATAAACCAGAAGTACGTTGGAAAGGATGTCTGTAAATCTGCAATAGTCACAGAAGGCTTCATGGAGGAGGTAGGATTTGAGGAGGGTTTTGTGTAGGATTTGGATAAGTGAAGGAGAAAAGGGTGTGTGTGTGTGTGTGTGTCTGTGTATGTATTGTGTTTATGTGTGTGTGTGTGAGATTGAGATAGAGAGAGAGAGAGAGAGAGAGAGAGAGAGAGAGAGAGAGAGAGAGAGAGAGAGAGAGAGAGAGAGAGAGAGAGAATGAGAACAACATGAGCAAAGATCTGTTAATTAGTCCTTTGGGTACATGCAACAGTGCGGAAATTCTACCGTGTTTTCATACATTTTAGTTCCTTCATTGAGAATGGCTTCATTGCCCTACACTTATCCAAACAAATCCATCTTTCTTTTCTTCTTCTTTTGAGGCAATCAGGGTTAGGTGACTTGCCCAGGGTCACACAGCTAATAAGTGTCTGAGGCCGGATTTGAACTCAGGTCCTCCTGACTCCAGGGCTGATGCTCTATCCACTGTGCTACCTAGCTGCCCTAAATCTATCTTTTCATGGTCAGCTCTAGCATCTCTTCCTTTATGATGTTTTCCTGATCACTCCCTCCTCCATTCTACTCCCAGTTTGGAGTTGCCAAAGGAACATTGTGTAGAAGGGCTTGACCCTGGGCTCTATCCTGAATCAGGTTTTGAATGGGCTGGCACTCAGATGGAACTCATCGTCAAAGATTCTCAAGGCAAGATTCCACATTAACACCTGTGTGTTGTGTTCATCCAGCATGATGAAACTAACAACTCATTGTAATCAACATTGTGGGTGGAAGAAACTGGAAATGCCTATCCCTTGGGGGACATATCACATCTTCTCAATAGTCACATCATTAACAAGTGAGTCATGGACTAGTAAAGGAGATTGAAGTTTAGAATTGAAGGGTCATTTTCATGCTCTTTTTGGCTGCTTTCTTGACCAAGAAAGCCCCTTCAGACTCCTGTGCTTGGTGAGGAGGGATCTCATCCATCCCTGTGCCTCCAGGCAGGCTTACAGCTAAGCCAACTCAGAAGCCTGTTGCTTCCAATTTTCAATGTCCTCTGGGCCTTTGTTTTGCAACTTTCTTTGAGTGCCTCTTCTAGTATCCCACAGCATGTATATATCTACTTATATGATCTAATGGAGAAACATTGGCTCTGAAATAAAAAAGCACCTGGGTTAAAATTCTGATTCTGCTACTGAGGCAGCTAGAAGGTGCAGTGAATAGAGCTGAGCCTACAGCCAGAAAGATCTGAGGTCAAATCCCCAGATATTTACTAGTTGTGTGACCCTGGGCAAGTCACCTAAGCTCTGTTTGTCTCAGTTTCCTCATCTGTAAAATGAAGATAATAATCTCAGTTACCTCACAGATTCATTGCAAGGATAAAATGAGATAATATTGGTAAAGTGCTTAGCAAAGTGCCTGGCACATAGTAGATGCAATATAAATGTCAGCTGTGATGATGATGATGATGATGATGATGATGATGATGATGATGATGATGATGAAGCAGCCAGTTTTTGCACTGAAAAAAAAATCTCTCCTCCTCCTACTTCATTTTTCTACTTCATTTCCTTGGAGGAAATGAAAGCCTACTGTTTGGCTTTCCTGCTACTCTCTTGGTATAACATCAGCATCACTGAGCTTTTCTGCTCCTTTTCTAAGGTAGGCAGGATGATACAGTGACTCAAGTGCTGCATTTGGAGTTTGGATGAACTGGTTTCAAATTCTCCATCTAACATTTACTAGCAGTGTGGCCACTCTGACCTTCAGTTTCTTCAGCTGTCCCAGGGATTAATAATATCTATAGCACCTCCCTCTTACAGGATTGTTATAGGGCTCAATTGAGATAATGTATGGAAAATATTTCACAGACTTTAAAGGGCTCTGGAGATATCAGTTATTATTCTAGTCTGACCAGAGTCACTAAACAGTATGAGGCACCATAGCCCAGGGGCTTGGCCACAGATCAGAAACATCAAAGAGATGAGTTTGGCGCAGACTTTTCCCTCAGAACACTATGAAACCATGAGGAAGTCAGTAAGATGGCTATCCTGATACCAAAGCAGACAGGAATCCTCTTCTCATCCCTGCCCTAGACACTTAAAAAAAAAAGCCTACCCGACCCACACAGTCTCTAATCCAAAGTCAGACAATGTTTTTGTCTCTCTGCTCTGTTGTGACACTCTCCTCTCCGGCAGTGACATCTTTCAGAGCTCAGCACCTGCCTGCACACCCACGAGAAAAAAACGAAAACCATCCAGGCTCTAGAAAAGGCAGAAGGGCTGAAATTCACTGCTTTGTCCCCCCAGCTGATGGCAGGAATTCTGCATCAACACTTGGCCCATCTGAGCTCTGCAATCCAAAATTAAAAGGAAAACCACACTAAACAGAACCAGGAACCCAGGGGGCTATGACACAATTCATCACAGAATCATAGAGTTAGAGCTGAAAGTGACCTCAAGGGTCATCTAGTCCAATCCTCTAGATTTTATAGCTGAGGAGTGTGAGGCCTAAACAGGTTAAGGGAGTAGCCCAAGGTCACACAGACTATATTAACAGGTCTGGGATCCCAAACCAAGTCCTCTGACTCCAAATTTGGGTTGCTTCTACTGTTTCATGCTTCGCTTCAGAAAGATGTGACCAGCTTTTTGGATAGCGTACCAACTCTACTAGTTAAATCTGGTTTGGTGGTAACCCTAGTTGTTAACAAGAAGCAAAAAATCAATGGCAGAACTATTGTGGTATTTCCTGCTTTCCTTTCTGCATCTTATGGTCACTACCTGTGTGACCTTGGGCTAGTCCCTTCATCACTATAGCCTCTAATTTCTCCATCTGCAAAATAAAGAAGTTGAATGAGATCAGTCAGTCAGTCAACAAGCATTTATCAAGGGGCTTCCTATATGCCAGACACCATGTACTTTGTAGGTTGGGCATAGAAAGAAAGGCAAAAACATGGCGCCCATCCTCAAGGACCTTCTACTGGAATGGGGAAGACAACATGTAAATAACAAGAGATATATGTGTCATTTCAGAGGGAAGGCCCTGTTTGGGGCAGGAGTGAGGTACCGAGAGGGGCCTCCTGCAGAAGGTGGATGGGCCACTCAGACAAGTCTGAGGCTACTGTGGCAGAGAATGGGACTGAGGTCTGTTAGCAAGAACTCTGAGGCTGAGACATTTGGCCTTTGTGACCCATGCTGCCATGATGAGAGGAACATCTGGTAATTAGGTAGTACTTTAAGGTTTGTGGAGCACTTTACAAGTGTTATCTCATTTTATCCTCACAACAACCCTGGGACCTAGAGCTATTATTATCTCCATTTTAACAGATGAGGAAACTGAGACACAAAGACATTAAGTGACTTACCCGGAGTCACACAGATCATGTCTAAGGCAGAGTTTGACCTCAGGTCTTTTTCACTCGGAGTCCAGCACTCGATCCACTGTGCCACATAAGGGCTCCAATTTGCCGGGAAAGTACTTCTTACCTCCCTCAAGCTGGCATTTCCCAAGATCTTATCCTTGATTCTCATTCACCCCAAAGATGGCTCTCAAGCTTTAGCTGCCTTATGGACCACTCCTTCAGGATGTCCTATCACATGCTTCCATGCGTGATTCACACTGGCCTTTCCCATGTGGTCCTTGTTACCACCAAAGGAGGGCTCTAGGTTGTGAAAAGAGAGAATATAGTGATAGATTGGGGCTTGGTCTCTCAGGAAACTCTGGAGGGGGGAACCTTGGGGTCACATGTGACCCTCTAGGTCCTCAAGTGCAGCCCTTTGACTGAATCCAGTTTGAGGCCGTTGGTTCCCCACCCCCGTGTCTAGCAGTTTCCCTGGAAAGGCTTCAAGGCACAACCCGTTTCATCTTCATCTTGGCGATTTTTCCCCCACCTTCTTCTACTCTTGCTATTTCCTCTATGGAGACGGGGGCGGGGGTGGGGGAGGAAGAAGGGGAGTTCCTACCATGATTCACCAGGTCCCCAAGCCATTGCTCAGAGCTGTACAGTGTTGGATAGACCCTAATAGGAAGCTCTTTATTACAATTTATTCCTTTTAAAGAAATAATAGCTCAGATCTGGAATAAGTCAACAGTAGCTGCTGAGGAATTTTTCATTTCAGCTGAAAGGTTTTTGCTCAAGGATAGAAATGCCCATGCTCTCTTAATTTGCAGCCTATTTGTCAGGG